CGCCTTCTCATCTTCTTTGCCCACATCCGTCCCAGTTGCCAACAGTTTACAATTAGTCGTCGGTTCGAAGACGGCATTTGCCATAACATTTGGGTCGTTGATGCGGTAGCTGTGCGGAGCCAGGAACGGCACCCAAGCGGGATTGATCGCGCAAACGTCTGCATATAACAGGTGCTCAAAGAACCTCAAGCATGGCTACATTCATCACAAAGATAAACTACTCTCAAGCAGCAGATGGACGCATTAAAGGGGACCATGAAGCGACTATGGCAGGTATCTTACAATTATAAAGTAGTACGTCGCTAAAGAGGTGCTGATAATGTGCCTTCAAGAAATTAAATGGAGCATAGCTTGAGCATTCTGAACAGCGAAAAGGCAAGGGAGTACCAAATTTTATCAATACATGATGCAAATGATCGGTAAAAAATAGAATTTAAAAGGAAAGAAAGGTCTATGAATACTTTTGCTTGCTAAAAAAAAATACAAGTAGCCTGAAAAGTAATGAAACAGTTTAAGCTATTCAAATTATCTACTATGCAGCAAACAAGCAAATTCTGACCATCCAGAAGAGAAGTGGAAAATAGAGCTTACTTCGGAGATATGGCTTTGAGCTTGTATAAAGTTCTGAAAAGGCGACAAAACTGCAGTTTTCGCGAGAAAGAGGTGAGTTCGCTTCAATAAACACAGGCTCAGAAATTCCGGGCACCTACAATTATGAGAAAGTTGAAGGACTGTTTTGACTCAAAATGATTTTGTTATGATCTAGGCAAGGAAATATTGGTAAATAAACAGAAGTGCATCGTGCAAAGAGAATTGGCGTATATGTTGAAGGAGAGCGAGGGTCGGAATGTGCACCTACCTTGTAAGCATACCTAAGTCGCCGCCGATCCTTTGCTGGTAGTTCCTCCGTCGGTAGATCATATTTGGCAGCTAGGTGACAAACGGAACCTACCAGAAACAACTGCCTCAACTGCTCAATTTGAGTAGCGGTGGGTTTGGGTAGGGCTAGGTCCAATTTAAGGTCTAGACCTGGCACGTTGGCATTCACTGAAAGTAAGTAAATAAGTGTACGCATCCGCAATGGTCGAATGCGACGTCAAGATGAGGTTCAAAGCCTACAAATGTCGATGAGTTGTCTCCGCAGCTGGCGTACCTCGACGTAAGCCTTCCAGCGAACGCCGCACTTTTCAACCAACTGACACAGAGTCGCCTCAGGGTTGAGGCGAGCAACGCGATCAAGGTCCAGAGATAAGGCACTTCCTTCATCTCCGGGCACAAGTCCAACCAGTTGGGCCCAGTAGCGGTCGAAACAGCACACTGCACCCAGCAAGACTGCCAAGTCACCGAGCATAAGATCTGCCTCCTAGGGACAATTATATAGACACGGAGAGCTGACGATACCTACCGTAATGAAACATTCCAATAACACAGCCCAGTAGAAATACGTTCAAACTTTAAACTAGCGAAAATCTTCTTAACAAAGACGACTTTCCAGTGATAACAAATCCAATTTAAAGAGTAACTTAAGAAATGGTAGGCGAAATGAGCTAGCTCATTCTGCAGTGCACCGCAAAGGATTGGGCCTAGATTAAAAATAGTTTTCTGACGCAACTCCGTATGCTTACCAAAGCTATAACTCTGAGACAGATCACCGAAGAACATCGGGCGTTTCACCATCGAAACGGCATAGTTTGCGCGAACTAACTATGCGCTGCTACTACTACAGTGGTGGTGCGAATAGAACGTGCATCCTTGTCAATTCAATCTAATCAAATCGTTGCCTGGAGTTCGCCCTCGCTGAAGCAGGGACTAGACACTATCTTTCAATTAGGAATGAGCATAGACGTACGGTTTTGACGAACTGTCGCAGGAATTTGGCGCGGATTTGAGACAACCGGTCAGCTTCGGACAGGTGTGCTCCTTTGCGCTTCTGTACTACTGTCATCGTAACGTCCTCGATAGGTACGGGTGCTAGCTGAGGATCGACCAAGAAAAAGTCGGGAACAGAGAGTGCGGTTACGAGGACTACGGCGTATGGCATGAGATTGTGCTGATTTGCGAACAACAGCATACGTGCGAACCGCGCCGGCAGCGGAATGCGTGCCATCCAACGACCAGCTGGCGTTATTATTCGTAGTGTTTCTGATGTACAAAACGCAGAAGTCAGATCAATCTTTTGTAATACTTGATGATAACTATGCAAGCTTATTGTCGTGGGAGGGAGGATGTTACCTGTGCCAACTTTCTTTTCCTCTAAGGCGCCCAAAGCTGTAAGACGTCGTTCCGCGGCTTCTATCGCAGCCGCCGTAGGTGATGTAGGTAGAGGGAAGCGCGAAAGGGGAGTGCTGCCCAAATACGACTACAGTAAACGAAATCGACTTCATTTTGGAGTTTTGAGTGTCAGTGTTCAGTCCCTCCCAAAGGTTACAATTCCACCATTTGAAAATTAGCGCAAGGTGCTCCAACGCCATGCTTCTTTAACTTTATAATAAAGGACTGCTCAAAATATAAAGATCGATCAAATTAGATGTAGATTTCAAAAACAAAAAAATGTATGAAATACGTGATTCCTCATACTTGTACGACTATAAGGCTTTAAAATTGTTAGCATCCAAATCTATGACAGTAGTATTCTGCTCGATGATAATTGGCCTTTGAAATCACAAGTTATGCCTAGCCCATTGTGGAAAATGTCACCGAGCTTTCTAGATCTTCACGTGCATGCCAAGCACAAAAGGAAATAAACCTTCAGGAGGAGCACAACTTCGTCGATGGGTCGAGTAAGGATTTCAGGCTCAGAGAATGGAGCCATGTTGTCGGTGAAGACACGAGAAGAATAGAGGCGGTAGCAGTGACCAGGACCTATCCGGCCAGCTCTACCAGCTCTCTGCTCCGCAGAGGCCTGACTAGCCCATACAATGCGAAAGCACGAGGCCCCTGTCGCAGTATCGTAGATTTTCGATTTAACCTTAAGAGAAGGGGAGATCAAACACTTTTGAGAATGTGATTCTATGAAAGGTAATCATATGAACTGGCATTTCTCTGGTCTGTACTAAAAGGCGAATCAGAGGAGAAAATATTTCAGTATTTTGTACCTTTCCAGTGTCGACCACGTAGCGAATGTTGGGTATCGTGAGTGAAGTCTCGGCGACGTTGGTTGCCACAACGATAAGGCGGCAGCCTTCAGGTGGGGGTTTAAACACACGTCTCTGTTGCTCAGCCGGCAGAAGGGAATACAGCGGCAGAGCCAAAATTGGTGTCTGAAAGGTACCCAAAATAAAGATTGGATCTATTCGAAAGGTACAGTCAAGTTCGATGTAAAACCTAGGAAAAGCACATACCATTGCGAAGAATGAATAATCAGAAAATGCTATCACAATAAGTCCATATCAATACTGGCTAATGAACCCAGTTGTATTACTCGCACCATAATACCCAATATGAGGGTTGTGATAAATTTTGAGATTCACGAATGGCTCACAGCCTACCATCAAATGACCTGCACTGTTGACCAATAACCACTAACGAAGATGTAACTAAGGAAAAAACTGAGGTAAAGCTGAAATCGTTGGAAAGCATGAGCTTAGAGAATAATAAATTGCTTAGGAACCTACAACTATTGAATCCTTCGATTCCTGGAACATTGGGAGATCTCCGATGTCAATTTCGTTCTCATTATCACTTGCCTCTCCAATAATCTGCTGTCTGTTAGACCTGATGTTGTCTGTACTGTCACCTTTGGAGCATTTCCAAGTACGTCTACTTTCACTTCCAAGACCCACCTCCACCTCTTCATCAGCTGGAATGATGTCGAAACTTGAAGAGAAGCAAGATTCATCCTACCTCACTTCATATTTGAAAACAGAAATGCATACGCTTGATCTTAACGTACTTATCTAAATTAAAACGCGAGGCTGAGATCCCTTGCACTACAGATATTTCTTCTGTTTCACTACGATTGATCTTATCTCCCGTCTTTCTGACCTTCAACTTTACTCTGGACTCCGCTTCCATCCTTTTCCGCTTCTTTCTCCTATTGGGCACAATTTCAGCAGTATCTGCCTTCCTGCCTGCCACCGCTTCTGTTCGGACTTTTTCAGGTTCCACGGTCGGAAAAGCTTCCGTGAGCCAATTACAGAGAGTCCGAACCTCTCGTTGGCCGGTTAAAAATACCAAAATCCCACCAGGAGGTGCGTTTCTGTGAATTTCTACTACCTACGAAAAGAAGGAATGCATTATACTCCTAAAACTCCTCTATAGCAAATGCATTGCTACATCGAGACTGAATGTAAGAAAACGTGGGTTAATAAACTTGGGCCTTATGACTCCACTTTAAAATGCCTAAACCTATCTGATGCACATTTCTGCAGCGTAGATATCAACTGGAGATTGAGCCCGACAACAGTGAGACAAAAATAGAAATAACGGAGAACAGCACCCTCGTGGTTAAAGAATATCATTTTGCATTGCTTTAAGTGGATTAAATTTGACGGTTAGAAAGCAAGGCAATTCACAGTGCTCGGTGATACCACCCACCTTCCGAAAAGCCGCCTTGAGGTAGTTTTCGGGTGTGAAACGGGAGAAATGACAAGTGACTGGGAATTGTCTGGACTCAACCTTCAAAACAGGTGGGGCACCAAGACGTCGACCAGCTTCACTTTCATCGCCATCATCTACATATTTATTCTCATCACTTGACTTTGCCTTAAGCGTGGGAAAAAGCCTTTTATTGTCGGCAAAATCTTCAACCCGCAATGTGGCAGACATAATTATCAGTTTTAGCGGAAGACGTGCATAATCAGGATTCTCATTGTAAGCCCGCCTTCGTAAGCGCGTCACAAGAGAAAGCAGACCCAAAAGGACGTCGGTGTAAACTGACCTTTCGTGAGCTTCGTCCACCACTATTGCTGAATAGGAAGACGCTACGAAATCCTAAAGCAACGGCGTTAGAAAATGCAAACCTGTAACTTCAAACAGAATCTAAAAAGCCAAAACAATACAAACTCATGCCAACAAAGCTAACAAGTAAGCGATTTTCCATTTTTTGAAAAAAAAACAGAAGGGTCGATGCATTTACCTTTTTTAGTTCCTGGAGTAGAATTCCATCAGTCATAAATTTTATTTGGGTATTGGCAGAAACGTTATTTTCGTAGCGTATATGGTAACCAACTTCACTGAAATGAGTGAAACCGCATATTAGGTCAAAATAGAGACTGTAACATACCCATTGTATAAACCCAATTCTTTCGAGACCCGTTCGGACATGGAGATTGCAGCAACACGTCTTGGTTCAGTGATACCAATTCTATAGCCACTCCTGCAGATGGGTAAAACAAACACTAGTGATTCTAGATATATTGGAAAAAGACAAAACCATATCTAATAGGATAGTTTATAATGAGTTAAACCCACCTTGTGTAACCAGCCTCGTACAGAAACTGGGGTACCTGTGTGGTTTTTCCGCATCCAGTAGAGCCACAAATAATGACTACGTCGTTTTCGCATATTTCCTCCATTATCCTGGCCTCTTCCGAGACTATTGGAAGCGTGAGACGAAAAGTTTGAATGTCAGAGCTTCTATGCACTGGAACATGGACCATCTTCATTCTAGCAGAGGCTTGCGATCCCGTGGACTCAAAGTCGTCGGATTTTCTAGGCAAAGAGTCGCGATCAGATTCGGAGGGGCGACCCTGGACCAATGGCGATAAGCGAATATCATCGTTAGGAAGAGATTGTACTTCTGTTGAGCCAGAACTGTCAGAATGTATAGACGAATCAGATAATGTAGAGCCAGAATCGCACCATCTAGTCGATTTCGAAACGTAGGATTTAGAGAGCCTAAAACATAACGACCTATACAAGGTTTACTTTTCGACTTTTCTATCAGATTTGCGGCTACGACTGAACAAGGTATTCAAAGCGGATACCATGGCTTTTTCGCTAGTAAAGCTCTCAAGTTCATTCCAGAGCGCACCCCTCTAGAAGGACCCCTTAAACAGCAAAAGACGTCAAACCGTCAACTTTTTTTGTTTTTTTGCAAGTTGTTTTTGAAGCTCCTTCCGCCTACGTCGAGACAAAACTTTCACCAAATGATTAGTAATCTCCTTCTTAGCTACAGTTCTTTTTGCTGAGGTAAGAACCAACGGGTTGCTTTCATCGTATTTCCCATCCAGTAGGTCGCCCTCAATCACCACCTCCATCAGTCAGATGTAAGTCAAAAGACGCAGAAAAATGAAATCAGTATAACAACGAACAGATATGACAAAAATTAATAGACGCAACTTAACTTACTTATGCACAGCTAAGTATTAAAAATTTATCAGACGTTTATAGTAGCATTCATTTAATGCAAAAACAATAAATATTATCTTTTTTAAGCTGAACTAAAAATAAAACAATATATAAAGATTTAGTATTGTTAGTCCTCTATCCACTAAAACCCCCTAATCGCATATGTTGTTACTAAAAATATAGTTGCGAATTTAGGATCTACCCACCTAGCCTCGTGCCCTTAAACAACGAATCCTAAGAGGTTTGTTATAAACGATTTTTTATTCGCAATTAGACACAGGAAGAGTGGGAATAGAAGTACAAGTTGTCCAAATAGAAGATATCACTCGGAAGGAAAATCATCACGTTCCTCGCGCACATGATTAGCGTTCCATATCTGGTTCCAGCCTCTCCTATAAAGGTCAACTTAAACGCTCCAATATAAATTTCAGCGAATTTAGAACTTGTCTGCCCTATGCACTCGTAATATGATCTTTGGGTTACGCTCGGGTTTAAGCTCCTAATCCCTATAAAACATGCATCGAACAAAACTCAATGCTTTTTCACACCTTGGAAAGTCTCGGAGCGCTAGAGCCATAGTCACGGTAGCGCACGAAGACTTCCCAAAGAGAAGAAAAAGGCATTAAGTGAGACTGGATACATGCCTTCCAAAGACAACAGAGCAAATGCACCAAAGAATGGCGTAAAGACCAGCCTACAAGTACAGGGGCAAGAAAAAATCTAAAGAGATCAACGAATCGACGACTAATTGTAAACTGTTGGCAACTGGGACGGATGTGGGCAAAGAAGATGAGAAGGCG